TTCAAGGACACCCCCAAGGCTTACCCTGTGGTCATGTTCTTATTTCTTATGTGCATTTCTTGTGTCTTGTCTGCATGTACGGCCTTTCTCCTCTGACACATAGTTCTAAGCCTTGTCCGTGTCTCTCTGTGGTGATTTTGCCTGTCTGGACAGAGCTTGTATTTACAGTGCTATCCTACCAGGAGCCTCTGCTCTATCCTCATCTCTCTGATCTCTCTGTGTCCTGGATGTATGTCCAACTCCTCCATCAGACTGGGAGCTCCCTGGGACCACATCTCTCTTGCTCCTGACTCCTGCTTCAGTGCCTACCCTGGAAGGGAAGGTTCAGGAAGGGTGTGATCAAGGAGACACTCACCTTGTCAATGAAGGCAGCGAACCTGCTGTTGAGGCACTTGATCTGCTCCTTCTCCTCCTGCTTCACGCACTGCACATTGGGGTCGACCTCCAGGTTGAGGGGTGCCAGGAGGCTCTCGTTGACAGACACGGTGGTGATGCAGGGCGGGCTGGGTCCACACACGCCGCCAGAGCGGTATCCGAAGCTGCGACCGCAGGAGCCGGCGCGGAAGCCTCCGCAAACGCTGAGGCTGCCGAAGCCCCCGGTGAGGCCGCGGTAGCAGGAGATGCCGCGGTAGGGGGCGGCAGTGATGCAGCAGCGGCCGGGCCGGGGCCCGCAGGCGGAGACGCAGCTGAAAGTGCGGCCTGTGAATCCTGATCCGCAGGTCATGATGCTTCTGAGGGTTTTGGCGGCAGCGCAAGGGGTGGAGGACTGGAGCCTTGTGGAAACTCCAATGTGCTCCTCAAGGAGCCCAGGCTTATTTATGCTCAGACTGGAAGGGGCTTGGCTATGCAGATGAAGTCGCGGCGATTTGCGCTTTATGGGCTTGGGTGTCTAGCCAGGTCAAAAAGCCTCTGGAGAATGTGCTTTAATAGCGGAGTGGCCCGCCCCATGTCTGTGTAAAGGATGCCAACCCCTGGGCTGTCGGGGAACTCTGCACGTTTCATCTCAAATTACCTTGCCAGTAGGGCACGCACTCATCTGAGGATACTGGAGAGAGATCGGCAGGTAGGGGAGGGGTCGGAGGAACGGGGCCAAGAGAAAGGGAGGAGAAGGGAGGCCAGATATCGGAGAAGCAGGGGACTTGGACTTATGTAGGGTGTGAGTGGGGGACCCAGGAAAGAAAGACTGAAGTGTTTACATATAACTTTTAGAAGTTTCCATCGCAGTAGTGGTCAAGGTGTTACTATAACATAAATCTGTATTTCCCTCATCTCCACATAGTCCAGTTGGCTGCTGAAATATATCTGTCTTTTCTTGTCACGGCAGCAGCCAGCAGATTATGAAATATTTGTGTTTTATGTCTTCTTCCACTTTTATTATGAGAGTTTTCAAACATACAGAAAAGTGGGAAGAGTAGTATAATAAACCCCCTGACGTGTTCCACTGGGTACCTGGATTCAACCACCGTTAACGCCGTGTCGTTTTCTCTCACGTTGCTCGCCCCACTATTTGACAGTTACAGAAAGCATGGCATGTCACCCTTAAACACTTGCGCACGCATTTCTTAAAAATAAGGACAGTACCATGCTGACATGCAAGAAAAAGGACGATAATTCCAAAGAATCATTTACTCTCCATTCCGTATTAAAATTTCCCAACTGTCTGTCCTAAGGCTTTCTAAAACCAGATTTTCTCTGATTTAACTTACAGCTGTATCTCTTGTACTTTCTATAAACTGGAAGTTAACTCAAGCTGGGCTGTTTAATGTGGTAGCCTATAGACACATATGGCTCTTTATATATGTTAGTTAAAATTAAATAGATTCCAAATCTAGTCCCTCTGTGGCACTAGCCAAGTGCCACACATGACTAGTGGCTACTTTATTGGACAGCACGGATACAGAACATTTCCACCATCCTACCAGCATCTATTGGATGGTGCTGGTCTAGAAGCTTGGTTGGGTTTAACTGAAACATTTTGGGGCAGAATACATCATAAACAATGCTATATAATGCTTACTGGATCACCCCAGGAAGCACAAAATGGCAGGTTGTCCTGTTATTGGTGATGCTAAATCAGATCACTTGAATGCATCTTCCCCTTCACAGTTAGAAAGAACTCTGTAGGGCAACACAGATCCGATTTTCTTTTTATTGGTCACTGACTATGTGACCATCATTATATGCCGTAAATAAGCTCTAATTCTCAACCATAAGAAGTGTGTATGGCTATTCCCATTTTACAGATGAGGAAATTGAGGCTCAGAGAGGATAAATAACCCATCCCAAATCTCCCAGTTAATAACTAGTGGAGCTCAGGAGAAGCAATGCCTTCTCACTGACAGGCAACGTCAACCCCTGGATTTCTTAATCCCTGGAAACTTTCAAGAGGATGAAGAAAGTTGTTTAGGGGAGGATATCTGTGGATGTAAGGTTGGGGAGAGTCAGTTCAAGGAAGATGGGTAGAGTCAGAGGTGGTTGGGAGGGTTAGAACAAGGAGGGCCAGTGGGCATGCGCATGTCACAAGGGCAAGGAGAGCCTGGGGGTCAAGAGATCTGCAGGACCCTGTGGCTGAGAATTGACTGAAGGGATGGAAAATGGCAGTTTTAGTTATTTGTATACCTCTGGTGTGTTGCAAGTACCTTGATAGATTGTACTATATTCTATGTACCCATGAAGCTCCTCATTCCAACAGAGCAGCTCTAGAAAAATTATCTCATAAAGTACAGGAGTATGCATTAAACAGAAGGGAAGAAAAGAGAAGTGAAATGCTGTGGCTGGCAACCCCTGTAGCTGCTGTGTCGTAGGGGTGCAGGAAGGTAGAGCAGCTTGGTGGGGGCAGGGCTAGAGGGAAAAGAGAAGGAAGGGAATAGTATGTCTGCAAAAATTCAGGAGTGAGTGCTTGTGACAAGATAGACATGGGGTCATGGACTGTATCAGCTGTCTGGTCATCTCAGAGGAGGGTGTGGCACCTGATGTCACTTTATGTTTGGGAAGCTGGGCCAGCTCTTCTGAGGTCCTTTATGCCCTCATCTGGCACTCTGGGCACTGCCCACTATGGAGTGGCCAGCTGGCCGGGTGTCCCAAGGAGAAGCCCTGTGAGTCAGGGTGTAGCTCACACATGATTTACCTTTTCTACCCGTGTAACTCCCTATAAAAATGACATGAATAAACACGAGCTAATTACTAATGGCTGGCCCTTGCTAAGCAATTTTAAAGAAGCAAGAAGCAATTTAAAACAAGTTATAAAAAAATTTAAAATGTGACACTATTTCCTTAAACTTCAGGTATCACCAATGGCTGCTCATTTTGAAGACCTAAAGTGATGTTCAAGCTGTAGGTTTTCTTGGCGTGAAAAAGGCTATGGTGGGGGAAGGGGAGAGGGAAGGGAAAGGGCCGGCAGAATCACCACCTACGGGAAGAAACAGGACAGAGTGGAACTTAGGAGTTTCCTCTGAGCCTCAGTCTCATTGCTCTCCCTTCTTTTCTGGCCCAGGGATGGCCCCGCTGCAGGATTCTGTGGTGAATCCTTCCTTTACTTTTCTTTACAATTTTAGGACCAAGAAATGCATCCCTAAACCATTTCCAGTTTTTGAACTTCATGTAAATGGAATCATCCTGTGCATTCCTTTCTTCAGTGTTGCTTCCTGTAGCTGTATTGCGTTCATTTTCACTGTGGATCATACTCATTGCATGAACATGTCAGAGTTTATTTATCTTTTCCATGGCATCGTGGTTGTTTCCAGAGTTTGTGTTACGAACAGAGCTGCCGTGAGCATTCTTTTCCTTGTCTTCTGCTATATTTGCGCAGGAGTTTTTCTAGGGTATGTGGTTACTTAAGAGAAAATTATACAGTTAGTATATGCTTAGTGGAGAATATTTCATGAATATTCTTCTAAACTTGTAAAATAATAACATTTCTTGATACTGGATACTTACATCTCACTTCATACTAGATACTATACTAATAGCCAAAATGCATTAATGCATTTAATCTTTACAATCACCCTCTGAGGCAGGTGTTATTATTCTAGCTTTACAGATGAGAACACTGGGGCCCAGAGGGTTAAGAGGCTGGCTCAGGTGGTGTAGTTAGAAGCAGAGCTGCCACTCAGAGCCTGGTGTTACTGATCTCAGTGAAAGGGGTGAGTTTATCTCATTTCACGCCTATCCATCCACCATCTAAAAGTATCACATGGTAGATGGTGTTTGTATATAACACATTCACACACACACTCGCCAGTCCCCTCCCTCCAGCACCTCCTTAAGGCCCTTCAGCATGTTGTCATTGTTCAGGACCAGAGGATAGGGGAGAGCTCACCCTTGTTTGTTGTGAGCGTCCAGTTCTAAGACAAAAGCTGGACATGTACCCAGATCATAAGCAAAACTGCAAACCCTGCAGCATCCCAATGAGTTCCAATGGTTGGTTCATGGATATGTTCCAAGGGCTAGGTACATAGAAGGTGCTCAATAAATATTTGTTGAGTGAATGAAGTGAATGCCAGCTGCATTTTAAGTGCTGAGTAATGGAGCCATCAAAGCTTGATGGTTAATTGGCAAAGCTTTTTAGTAGGATGGGGTGGGGACCAGATGAAGCAGACCAGAGGGCGGCCATTCCTGGGGGTGGGGGTGGGGTGGGGAGAGGTTCCTGCTGGGACCTGAGGAAGGATGAAGTGAGTAGATGCATCCTTTACCAAAGTGAAGTCCTTGACCTGAGCAATGATGGGGGTGGCAGGGAAAGGCGGCCAACAAGGACAAGGATTCTGAAGGCCATACACCAGAGTAGAGATGGGCAAGGATTGGAGAAGGGAAGAGAGAAGTGGATAGAAGATAGATTTCTAGAGAAAAGGAAGGAGAAGATGCTTAGTCTTAAATTATTACTCTCCAGGGCCACTTGGAAGAAGGTTGGATACTGGCTGGGGGGGTGAGGAAATTAGGGGAGACAGAAAGGGAGAGGAGGGGAGTGGAGGAGAGTGGAGGAAAAAGAGGGAGAAGCCCCAGGAGAGAACGGTGGGGGACGCTCTGGGGGTGAAAGAGCAGAGGAGGAGGAGGTTGATGGGGGAAGGGGCAAAGCACTGAGGACAAGGTGCAGACCTACCCGAAGAGGTGGGCAGCCTTGGCTCCAGCTCTAAGGACGTACACCCTCACGGAGCAGGGACATGGGCTGGGTAAGGCGCCGAGGCTCAGCCTGGTTAGTCGGAACAGATCTCACCAAGGGTGGCGCTCCTGAGTCAGGCTTCACTCCCTGCCAGTCTCTCCACGAGGGCCTTTGGCCCTCCCTCCTCTGGTGAATTTTCTCATGGATAATTGGCTGCTGTCCCAAACTGTCTTGGTTGAGGAGGCAGGGGCTCTGACGGGGGCCTCTCCTCACATCACCAACCCAAAGGTGCTGCCTGGTGCCTGGACCAGAGGGCAACTCCGCCTCTAATAGCCCGTGTGTTGTGCAAACAGCCACCCTCTCATCCCTCAATTTCCCTCACTGGAACCTGGCCTGCACCTGCTTTCTGTGAACAGAAAGCATGAGCTGCAAGGTTAGAAAGGGCACAAAAGTGCAAGCCTAGAGAGCAGTTTTAGTATCTTTCAGATGTAGAGTCCGTAGGCTGATTCCCAGCCTATAGCCATGGAGCAGAATGACATGGGCCCTTCTTCTGAGGTCTCTGTCTCAACTGGATCTCCACTATCACAGCATCTCAGGATCCCTTCCTCTTCTGCAAGGGCCCTCAGGCGTCCCTACCGCCCACTCTCTGAAATACTTCCTTGCAAATCTTTTCACGAACACTCTCCCTCTGGCTGCCTTACTGAA